GAGATACCAACCACGAGCATTCTTCCCACTTTGATCAAATGGAATTATTTTTAGTAGAGGCTGGTGTGCTTGAAATGCAACTTATAATCTTTTCAAAAGCCCTCTGCGTGGTATACACATGGGCTTCTTGACGGTGTGTGTCTAGAATTGCAGTGTTTTCTCTGCCCCCAAGACTACCTTTGAACTCACCCTTTCTGCTTGTGTGCATCTGTAAAGATAAACGAATTGCTTCGGCGCTGAACACAGCAACAGTAGCATGCATCATTTCTGACAACTACTTCCTGAACTTCATCCCTGAATGCTGCACGAAATGCAGCATTGGTTCTCAGCAGAGCTCCGTGGTGCGGAGGGGAACAGACCTCGGGCAGCAGGAGAAGGCCGCCCATTCGGACCTTCCTGGGCCTCTTACACATCGCTTTACACAAGCCCTGTCTGGGATTTTTATATACTCACTTAACAAACGAAAGGCACAATCCATTTCACTGCAGCTCTGCTGGATAAATATGGAAAAAATGTGGGACCTATGTCACGAACCACAATGGTTTTGCATCCTGTGTAATTTGAAGACAAGATTCCTTTGCTGTGTGTCACCTCCTATATTACCACTGTCGTCCAATATTTCGTAACCATCAATTCTTTGCCAGTGCCCACACGCAAAGATGGGTTTGCATTAAAAAATAAATGAGAACAGCACATTCTGATGCGGTGTAGTGTATCAGCATTTTCCACCAGGAGCTCGCTGCCTGCCCTTCCCCTTTTAGAAAACAAAGGACAGCGCCTACTTATCCCATTACAGCTCCTGGGGAGAAGGGAGAAGGGACGTCAGAAATAAAAGAAAAGCCTTTTTCCTTTGAAATATCTAAATGTCTAAAGATGGGAACAGCCACAGGGGAGAATACTGTGCTGTGCAAGCTGATCTGATTTTGTGGACTAGCCATGTTCACTTGGAAAGCTCAATTACGTGCAACCTGAAGAACCAGAAAACCACAGTTTTCAACCTACAGGGGTTTATTTTGCTCACCTAACAAGGAGACCAAAACTGGGCAGTGCAGGTTGAGTCCTCAAGGACTCAGGTTCTTTCTGGTCCACCAACCTTATCATGTGGGATTTTCACCCTTGTGCTTGTTGCTTCGTGGTGGCAAGATGGCTGCAGCACCTCTGGGACTCACGACTGATTTTTTTTTTTTTTTTTTTTGAGACAGAGTCTCACTCTGTTGCCTGGGCTTGAGTGCAGTGGCATCAGCCTAGCTCACAGCAACCTCAAACTCCTGGGCTCAAATGATCCTCCTGCCTCAGCCTCCCAGGTAGCTGGGACTATAGGCATACGCCACCGTGCCTGGGAAATTTTTTCTATTTTTTTAGTTCTTGGCTAATTTTTTTCTATTTATAGTAGAGACAGGGTCTAGTTCTTGCTCAGGCTGGTCTCAAACTCTTGAGCTCAAGCCATCCTCCTGCCTCGGCCTCCCAGAGTGCTAGGATTACAGATGTGAACCACTGCGCCTGGCGTCACGACTGATTTTTAAGGTAGGCAGAAGGACTACCTAGCCAGACAGAGCTGTCCTAGCCAGACAGTCTCCTTTCTTCTGGAAAGCAAAAGGTTTACCTGAACTTTCGGCAGATTTCAGCTATCTTCTGATTGGCTAGGACTGTCACATGGTCACTCCTTAGGCTCAAAACACGAGTTTTAGCAGGGAGTGTTGCTGGCATGAACAAAATTTGGTTCTGTTAGTGTAAAAGAGGAGGAATGGGCGCAGTTTGGTCACACACGTCACATACCTGCTCTCATTAAGATACTACCTAGAGGGCTGGGCGCAAACACAAGAGATGCAAAACACTTCATCTTTGTACTGAAGACAAAAGCTTTCGCCTGACCGGCCTGGTGGCTCACGCCTGTAATCCTAGCACTCTGGGAGGCCGAGGTGGACGGATTGCTCAAGGTCAGGAGTTCGAAACCAGCCTGAGCAAGAGCGAGACCCCCGTCTCTACTATTAATAGAAAGAAATTAATTGGACAACTAATGTATACAGAAAAAATTAGCCGGGCATGGTGGCGAATGCCTGTAGTCCCAGCTACTCGGGAGGCTGAGGCAGAAGGATTGCTTGAGCCAAGGAGATTGAGGTTGCTGTGAGCTAGGCTGACGCCACGGCACTCACTCTAGCCTGGGCAACAAAGCAAGACTCTGTCTCAAAAAAAAAAAAAAAGAAAAAAAAGATCCTACTGAGAGGATGGTGGGGCTGAGGGAAGGAGGGAGGAGGAGCACACTGGTTGGAGGTGTGCGGCGGTCTGCACGCTGCGTTCGTAGGGGCCTGGGGATCACGCAGCTGGCTACGCGACAGCAGTCTCGAACTTTCTGTTCATATGTGAACATTCTGTAATGGATGAATTCCCCATTACAATTATCGTGAAAATTTGTTGTGTTTAAATTAATGAGAAGTAAGAGTATTATTTTTAAGAAGTAAATCTGACCATTTCATCCTCCTGCTTAAAACCCTTCAGGAGCTTTCCATAGTTCTTAAGATAAAATCTAAGGCCGGGTGTGGTGGCTCATGCCTGTAATCCCAGCACATTGGGAGGCTGAAGAGGGAGAATCACTTGAGGCCAAGAGTTTCAGACCAGCCTGGGCAACATAGTGAGACCCCGTCTCTACAAAAAATTTAAAAATGCTAGGTGTAGTCATGCATGCCTGTAGTCCCAGCTACTTGAGAGACTGAGACAGTAGGATCACTTGAGCCCACGAGTTTGAGGTTACAGTGAGCTATGCACTCCATCCTGGGTGACAAAGCCTCAAAAAAAAAGATATATATATATATACACATATATAATGTAAAGTCCTTGGCATGGCCTTTAGAGAGCTGCAGGACACTTTGTTTATTTCAACAGCCTTCTCTCTCTCTCTCTGCCCCAGGACCCTTGCATATGCCTTTCCTTCTCCCCAGAAGCCTCTTTCTCCATTCTGGGCCTGGCACCCCCTGCTCTTTCTTCAGCTCCAAGATTAAAGGTTGCTTAGAGAAGCATTGCTTCACCTGTCAGCCTGGCTTGGAGCACCTTGAAAGGATTTCTGAGTGTTTGTTCTCCTTAGCATTTATATAAAAAATTAATTAATTTTCAGTGAATTGTTTCAAGTCTGCCTCCCCTGCTAAAATGTGAGATTTGTTGAAGCCCTGGTGTTCTTGTTTACTGCTTGATTTGTAGCACCTAGTTGGGTGCCTGCTGTGTAGTAAGCTCTTAAAAAATATTTATGGAATGAATGAAATGAAATTTTAAAGGCATGAAGCTGTTTTGCTGATAATATGCATTGGTGCCACTCAAAATACAGTCTTTGAACTGCTGTTGGCCTGCAAATGTTCATTATTAATCTGCAATACGTGCAGAAATTGACAGTGTTTAGAAACTTCTATAGTAATTATCAAAGTGTTGGTATGAAATTAATTGGAAAATTTTTAAAAGTAAAATACAGGCCGGGCGCGGTGGCTCACGCCTGTAATCCTAGCACTGTGGGAGGCCGAGGCGGGCGGATTGCTCGAGGTTGGGAGTTCGAAACCATCCTGAGCGAGACCCCGTCTCTACTAAAAATAGAAAGAAATTAATTGACCAACTAAAAATATATATACAAAAAATTAGCTGGGCATGGTGGTGCATGCCTGTAGTCCCAGCTACTTGGGAGGCTGAGGCAGAAGGATTGCTTGAGCCCAGGAGTTTGAGGTTGCTGTGAGCTAGGCTGACGCCACGGCACTCACTCTAGCCAGGGCAACAAAAGTGAGACTCTGTCTCAAAAAAAAAAAAAAAAGTAAAATACAATTCGTTTATTGCAGGTAATTTGAGAAGCACTGCTACAGGTTAGATACCGCAAACTGTCGCTACATTAACAAAACGTGGACATTTCAAAAGCTGCAGGAGCTCAGCAGCCACTGTTAGAGAAGCCGGCAGGTCTGGCAGGTCGACGTGAACTTCCTGCAAGGGGAGGCCATGTAGCCCACCTTCACATCCTGAGTGGAATGCTAATTCCCTAACTTCCCAGCAAGTTATTTAACTCAGCTGCCTCAGTTTCCCCATGTGTAAATGGGGGTAATAAAAGAACCTACTTCACAGTATTATTGTGAAAGAATAAACAGGGGCATTCATATGCAAAGCATTCAGTGCAGTCTGGCTGTAGTAAACACTAGCTGTCTGCTATTATTATTTCTTGCAATACACGGAAGAGCTGCTTTGCACAAATTAAAAAAGGATTTAAAAAAATAAAACATGGTTTTGATTAAAGTAACACTTGGAATAGAGAAGCACATGGAACAGAGATGGATCTCAAGCCTACACTGAGCGCAAACAGCTGGCTGGAGGGCGTGAGGGAGTGTGAGTGCCCCGGGCAGGCTGACACTGGCTCTGCCCTCACATCAGGGACAATATTTGCGTGGCAGAGCCGGTATATTCGCGTATGGCTCTTATATGGGAAAACTTGCAAGCCAAACAGTCAGAGAGAGAGGGATGAGATTTTTTCTTTTTTGCCGTAATATTCTTTTCTCACTCAGAAAGTGCCTGAAATTCTGTCATTAGGACTGCACCTTCTTAGTTGAAGGCTTTTATGTAAAATGCAAGTAAACTTAAAAAGGTTACATTTTTAATCCCTTCTCAGTCATTTACACTTTAGTGTGAAGAAAACGTCTGAAGAGAACTCGATGATAGAGGCCTTTGCTCCTGTCCTACTCTAACCTGGCACTTGCACCCAACCCTCTCCCACCCTCGCAAACCCAAACACAGTTTAGCTCCGTTCATGCCTTAAACTTGAAGATTTCTTTGACTGTTCCGGCCTCTCTGTTCTCCTTCCCTGACGGGAAGCATGGTCCGTGCCGCATGCTCTAGCACTTACACATGCCATCCGCCGTTCAGTGCTGTTTCGTGGGTGTTTGTCTAACCACATTTCTGAGTTTGGGAGGGACTTTTCGGTAGCCCCTCCTCCCCAGGCACTGGGCTGCGCACAAAACAGGTCCTCAGCAAACACTTGCCGGATGGCGGGAAGGTGAGGCAGGACACCTGGCGCGCGTCAGGGCTGAGGCTCCACGTGGGCCGGACTCGGTCACTCGTGACCTCAGAGAGAGCTTGATCCACGTGCTGGGGAAGGAGTCGGGCAAGGAGAAAGGAGAAGGGGGTGAAAACAGTGGAGGCAGAAACAGTGGGAAGCCCTTTTTACGAAGAGATTGTCTGAGGACGAGAGTCAGGGAGGCCAGATGGAGGCGGGTGGATGTTTGCCAAGTGGAAGAGACCTGAGTCTGTGCGTCCACAGGAAGGAACGAGACTAGCATGAGGACAACATTGTAGGTGAAGAGGACAGTCGGTGAATGACGGTCCCTAAAAGGCATGGGATCAAGTGTCCCAGTGGAAGGGTTAACGTTGGCTAGAAAGAGGACCCCCTTCCCTTCCGGCACAGAAAGGGAGGTGAGGTGTGTGACTGATGACACGTTGATGCTGAGACGTGGGGGACACATGGATGAGAGAGGAGCAGGGAGACTTGACCTTCTCAGAAAAGGGAGAATCCAGGTTCTCACCCCAGGGCAGGCCACCCGCTCTTCCACCCCCTTGCTCAGAGTTTGAGGCTTGGTAGCAGCGCACAGAATGTTGGTGTCAGTGCTGAGCTATCAGAAAAGAGAAAAAGGTTACTCAGCCTAGGACTTTGGGAGGCTCAGGTAGGAGGATTGCTTGAGCCCAGGAGTTTGAGGCTGTAGTGAGCTGTGGTGACACCACTGCACTCTAGCCCGGGCAACACAGCAAGACCCTATCTCAAAAGGAAAAAAAAAAGACGACTCCGCAACTCTGAGGCCCAGGCTTCTGCTGCTGCCAGGGCTGCGCTGGCTCCAATGGGCCGTCCCTCCATCCAGCAGTCACGTGCCCAGCACTGCCTTGAGCCAGGCATGGCTCAGACCCTTGTTCCGGAGCAAAGGGGTTTATAGACTGGAGAAGATGCAGGCAAACAGCCCGCCGGGCACCGTGCAGGGAATGGCACACTGGGGTGAATATGGGGGGCTGTGGGGAGATGGCCCCACCTGTGATGGGGAGCTTCAGGCTGCAAAGACTATTCCAGTCTGACCGAGTGGCAGGTGAACGGCCCACAGGCAAACAAGAGCCTGGTGTTTCTAGGAACTGAAGGTGGAACCATGCGGCTGGAGCGAAGGGCGGATGGCAAAGAGGAGACAAGGCCTGAGGTCGGCAAGGGAAGCAGGGCAGATCACTCGGGGCACAGTCTGTCCCCCAGGGCCACTCGACCTGCCCGGGAGCCCAGGTCTTATCCTATGCGGAGGGAGGAGTTTGGAGACAGGAGGCCAGGTGGGAGAGGGCAGTGGCTGTGGGAGTGGAAAGAAGCACGAGGGTCTGGGGGGTTTACAGGAGGGGTCACGGCCAGGGCTTGTTAGTTGATTGGATAAGGAGACGTGAAGAAGACTCCCAGGTTTCTGGCTTGGGCAGCCAGGTCGGGGGGATGCCGCCCAGTGAAGCGGGACGCGGGCGGGAGACCGGCCGAGAGACCAGCTGAGGGCAGGAGGAAGAGCTGTCTGAACGTGGGGCGCGAGCTGCGGGCGGCCGCGGGAGGAGGCCCACCCCGTGGGCCTGCGTGTCTGGAGTCCAGAAGAGAGAGCCGGGCTGGCGGCCTTGGGTTGTTGCTGGCCAGCCTTGAACGGCGACGGAAGGCTCAGAGTCCTCAGGATGGACCAGGGCGAAGGGAAGAGGAAGGAGAGGACCAGGCCGGGGAAAACCAACCACACAGGCCAGGCCGCGGCTGAAGGAGGCGCAACGGCAGAGGAGTCCGCACAGGACACTGAGCAGGAGGGACGGGGACGCAGTAGGCGAAGACAAAAGGGTGTGATGGTGGGGAGTGAAGGGGAGAGAAGCACTTCAAAGAAGGGACAATCCACAACCTCAGAAGCTGCTGAGCAGTCAAGGAAGAAGAGACTCAGGCTGCCCCTGATCCAGCCACAGGGAGGTCCAGCCCTGGCGACGCTGGCCCGCCCGAGGGGCAGTGGGCGTGCACAGGGAGGACGCTGCGCGGCCCGAGAGCTGCCTGCTCTTTGAGGATCAAAGTCGGGGGGCAAGAGTGACAGACAGAGGGGCAGGTGGGGTCAAGGAAGGTTCTTAACTTTGTGGTCGTTTTTGAAAATGGATTAAATGGAATGTATTTCCATGGTGAGGGGTAGGCACCCGAAGAAGAAAGTTTGAAGAAATAGGGGAGAGCGAGCTAGTGGATAGGAGCGGACCTCCGGGAAAGGCAAGATGGGATGGCATTCGGAAGACCACGGAGCACGTTAGGCTGGGACAGGAACAGCAACGGTGATGCCGACAACCAGAGAAAGTTGCCTGTGCCGGGCGCTGTGCTGAGCCTTTTCTGCTGTCTCGTTCAGTGCCCACAACCACCCTGTAAAATAGGAACTATTAGTCCCCCATTTTAAAATGAGGGCCAATGTCTAATTGCAGCCCACATGATTGCGCCACTGCTTGATGTCACAGGGCTAGAAAGCGGCGGAGCTGGGACTTGCGCCATCTTACTAGGAAGGAGAAGAGACTCAGATGCAGGTAACTTTGCAGAGCCGGTGACTGGGCATTGTCATCTGACGAGTGTCATCTCTGTGAGGTGAGAGGCGAGGGCCGTGGCAGAGGGCCCAGCGGGAGGGAGAGCCGACCCACCCTGGTGAGCGGTGTGACAGATAGCACCCGGGAGGGCCACGGCCGCAGCAGCTCCTGGCCGCGAGGTAGCAGAAGCAGGAGGAGGCGCAACACAGGACCAGCACTGGTCCCCACTTGCCTCTCCCTGTTTTTACCTTTCCAACTGAGCAAGGGCCTACCTTGGAGGTGCACTAGTAGGAGTGCCAATCTAGTTCCGGAAAGAAAGAGGAATCTCTGGTTACCTGCCAATGTCAATACATGTCAGAACAATAGTCCTGCCAGGTCCCAGAAAATTCTGCTGCAATAGCCATGTCATTGTCATCCGTGTAATTTTGCATAGTCTTTTGTAACAACTTTGTTAATTTGTCTTGAATTTCATCTTTGTTCTACTAAATGTCAGTGGCACAACAGTTTTTAGTTCTGAAATGTCTCATTCATTCCATCATTCATTTATTCATTCCACAAATATTTATTGAGAGTCAGGCAGTGGTGGCCCATACATCAATTTCCCCTGCCCTCCAAAACAGAGAAAACTTACATCTAGTTTAACCAGACTAGATATAAGTCCCATGAGGTCGTGGACTTTGATTATTTTGTTCACTGCTGTATTTCTAGTACCCGAAATGGTCCCTGCATGGAATTGATGCTCAGTAAACGTTTGTTGGGTGCGGAGGCTCATTTACTGTGAAGCCAAAGGACTTTAAGTTTCAGGGGACCCACACACACTTGTGCAGTCCCTTCTGTGGCTCTGGAGGGGACTGCTGTGTGCTCTCGTGCTTATCCATTTTTATAAAAATTTCAAAAGTAACATATTATTACCAGTTAAGTTCTCTCTCCACCCTAACATCCCCTCTACCACCTTCCTCTGGTGTCCAGTGACATTGGAGTGGCCATGGGCATTTTTGGTATGCAGCTAAAAGGAAGTTGCATTGGGAATACATTTAGTATGGGATGTGGGGGATATATGTGGCATACTGTCACCTGCGTGTGTATTAAGTTATTACTAGCTATCCCAGCATAGGAGTGACTTTTAGGAATACTCCATCACCCACTGTGAAGTCTCACCTGGCATGTCACAAAGGTGCAGGGTTGGATGTGAAGTCACAAAGTGAGCATGTCCTAGGCTCCTGCACTAGAAATTTGTGGGTGGTAGAGAAACAAGAGCTTTCTTAAAGAGGGCCTCCAAATTTGTATGAGCTTCAGGCCCCTCGAAATGTGAACCTGTCCTTGGCTGGTCTGGGTGGACAAATGGATGGATCTGAGTCCTCTCAGTGTTGAGGAATAATCAGCTCGTACTTTACTTTTGTCTTGTACTTACACACAACAGAGTCTAGTTCAAAGTTTGTCTGTGGTCCTAAGAAATATGGCAAGCCTTCCAGTAAGCAGTGTCTTCCTAAAAGACGCTACTGTGAGGACAGCTAGAGCCACCTGCCCAAAGGGCGGCCAGCGTCCAGTCACACCTTCAGAGCTGACAGATCAAGTTCTAATTCCCTTTGTAGAACAGTGAAATTCTTTGTGCCCAATGCTGTATAAGGGCAATCACTACATCTTAGATCATGACTGCATTATATTAAATTTCTGGTGGCCTTCATTCATTCGTTCATTTGTTCAGTAAAAGTACTAAGTCCTTACTATGAGTCAGACATTGGGGGTAAAACATCAAACGAGACCCAGTCCCCTTAAAGAATTTTTAGTCTAGTTGGGGGGGGGGCGACACATTTAAACAGGCAATGACAATCCATGATTCACACTAAGACTGGGGCTGACGATGAGCACAGCGTTTTTCAAGCACTTGGGTGGAGTCTCCACCTCGGGCTAAGCGAGTCAGGGCTGCTTCTTGGAAGCTGAGTCAACTCTTGGCAGGGCTACTGGAGCCCTGGGTGGGAGGGTGAACTGGATCCAAGGTTCCCAAATCTGGCTGATTGTCAGAGTCACCTGGGGGAACTTCGAGAGTCTCAGGCCCACCCCCAGCCTACTGACTCCGAATTGCAGCAGAGTGAACCTCAGAAATCTTTTTTCCTTTTATTTATTTATTTATAGACAAGATCTCCCTCTGTTACCCAGGCTAGGATGCAGTGGCGTCATCATAGCTCACTGCAACCTCCAACTCCTGGGCTCAAGTGATCCCTCTGCCTCAGCTTCCCAAGTGGCTGGGACTACAGGCGCATGCTAGTGCACCCGGCTAATTTTTTTATTTTTGGTAGAGATGGGGTCTTGCTATCTTGCTTAGGCTGGTCTTGAACTCCTGGCCTCTAGCAATCCTCCCGCCTCAGCCTCCCAGAGGGGTAGGATTACAGGTGTGAGCCACTGTCCCCAGCCAGGAGTCTGTCTTTTTTAAAAAACATGTGTGGTGGTGGTTTTGATCCACTAGATTCAGTGAAGTAAATGAAGTTTGTGATTCTGCAGGGAGAAGTAGGTAGAGAGGCCCACAAGGACGGGGAAGGCCCCAAAGGAGGTGCAATAATAGGCCCATGACCGTGATATCACATACCATACTACCTGGTCTGCCAGAATGACGGGACAGCCTACGGAAGCATCAGCTGGGAGGCAATGCAAGGATGGCAATGAACTTATTCAATGTGGGAACCAAGAGGAGGAAACAAGAATGACTCCGCTCACTTACCACCACTCTCAGTCGCCAAACAGAGGGATTTGTGCTTCCTATCTCTGTGACCGTGGGCTCTGCAGGGTCAGAAGTCTGGTTCTAAAAGGAGAAGCGCTTCCACCAGGGCAGCCAGAGGACGTCTCACTGAACTTTTTCATTGGACCCAGTGGTGCGCAGGTGATCCACTGGGCGACCCTCGGTACTCTCTCACCCAATTTTGATAGCTACGGGCACACACAGCAGCTATGGCCTGAGAAGAGCATGGTGACCACAGAACAGACGTCTCAGGGGTGAGGGTCTAAGTCACCCCACCAGGTAAGCCTCTTAGACCATCAGAGGTGCAATTTATGGGTGAGGAGAATCTAGAATTGATAGTAGGGGAGGGGAAATGAATATTAATTGTAGCCCTACGATAAGCTGCAATGTCAGGAGCTGTTGTTCATCTCCTCGACCTTCCTCTTTCGAGTTTCTTCTAGGAGAGGGCCCCTGCGATTCTGGAGGAGCCGCTCCTGAACTCACACGAAGGAGCAGATCTGAGCAGCGGGGAGGGGTGGGGGGGTTATGACTTTGTTGAGACTACTTTATAGTCCAATCATGCTTCTTTCTCTTCTCTTCCACAGGAGTTGCCCCCAAGAGCACACCCTAATAAACTTCCTCCATGCCAAACTCCGTCTCAGAGACGGCCTCCTGGGAATGCAACCTGTGACGGGGACATTCGAGCGAAGACTTGAAGGAAGATCACTCCAGGCAAAAGGGCAGCTAGTCCAAAAGCCCTAAGGCAGGAGTGTCTGGGTGGCCAAGAACAGCAAGAAAAGCCAAAGTGGCTGTGGGGGAAGGAGGGAGTGGGGACAATGGAGGAAGACGGGATCAGAGTGATGATAAGAAACCAGACCATGGAGGGCCTTAAAGGCCACTGTTGGGATTTGGCTTTTTACTATGCATGGGCATCGTTGCAGGGTTTTTGTAGGGAAAGTGGCATAATTTAACTTAAAATGTAAAAGACTGGAGGGGACCTCGCGTCACTGCGCCGGGTCTTGAGCAGGCTGTCACAGAGGGACCGTGGCCCCGCCGGCTGCGCCAAGGCCAAGAGTGACTGGGACACCGTGACGCTGCTGTGCAAGAAGGGCCCACGGCCGCCCAGGCCAAGTCCAAGCAGGCCATCTTAGCGGCTCCGAGACAAGGAGAAGATGTGGAGACTTCCGAGAAATGGGCTGCCGACCAGAACAAACAGCACTCGATCACCAAGAACACAGCCAAGCTGGACCGGGAGACGGAGGGGCTGCACCATGACAGGGTGACCCTGGAAGTGGGCAAAGTCATCCAGCAGGGCCGGCAGAGCAAGGGGCTCATGCAGAAGGACCTGGCCATGAAAATCAACGAAAAGCCACAAGTGATCGCAGACTATGAGAGTGGACGGGCCATTCCCAATAACCAGGTTCTGGGCAAAATCGAGAGGGCCATTGGCCTCAAGCTCCAGGGGAAGGACATTGGAAAGCCCATCGAGAAGGGGCCCAGGGCGAAGTGAGCACAAAGCCTCGAAATCAGGAAATCAGCGTGTTCCAGCTGATCTCGTCTGGCTGGTCCCCTCGACTCCCAGCACCGACACGCGCCTCCTCACTTGGCTAAGCGCAGGGTTAGGCTTGCAGGCCCCTCCCCCACCCACACCTGCTATCAAACTAAGAAAATCGTGCAAAGTAAAAAAAAAAAAATGTAAAAGACTGATTCTAGCTGTTGTTTTTGAGAAAAGAGTGTGAGGGCAAGGACTGTCACAGGGAGACTAGTTAGCACTCTATTGCACCAACCCAGGAGAGGCGGGACAGTGGTGGCTCAGACCAGGGTGGCCGTGGTGAAGATGGGAAAACCTGGCCTGATTCCAGCTATACCCCAAAGGCCGGGTCAACAGAGCCCTGAGAGACTGGGCGTAGGCTGTGATGGAGAGAAAGGACCCAAGGATGACTCTGAGGTTTCCATTCTGAACAACCTGAAGAATAGAGTTGAGATGGGAATGCTGTGGGTGGAGCAAAGGGGAAGGAAAATAAGAAGTTTACTTTCATTTTGGATGTTAATTTTAAGATGTCCATTAGCTATCCAAATAAAGATGTCTGTCAAGTTGTCAGTTGGACATACCAGTCTGGAGTTCAGGGTAGAGGTCTGGACTGGAGATAGAAATTAGAGTCATCTGCACATAGTCATGGCTAAAGTCTTCAGAGTGGATGAGACCACCAAAGGGGGATATAGATGGAGAAGAGAAAACCAAGGACTGAGTCCCAAGTGCTTCATCCTTAGGCAAGCAGGGAGAAGGGAAGACGGAGCAGAGGAGATGGAGGAGTAACCAAGGTGAGGCAGGAGGAAAATCAAGAGAGTACAGGATCCTGGAAGCCAAGAGAATGAACAAAGTGTGTCAAAGAGGAAGGAGGCCCAACTGTGTTGAATTATGCCCAAAAGCCAAGTATGCTGAGAGCTAAGTATTGTTCCTTGAATTTAGTCAATGTTGGCATCCTTGACGACATCAGTTTCACTGGCGTAGTGAGGTCAAGAGTCTGGCTGGAGCAGATTTCAAGAGAGTGCACACAGCTGACCCTTTTGAGAAGTTTAACTGTAAGAAGTAGAGGAATGGTAGGTAATGGCAGGGGAGGTGGTTAGAAGCAAGTACTATTATTGCAACACAGATGAGGAAAATGAGGCTTAACAAAGCCAAGGAATTTGCCCCTGTTCATTCAGCTAGTAAGTTGTGGTTTCAGCAGAGATCTGCCTGAATCTAAACACTGAGCTCTTACTTTTTCAAAAAACCAATTCCTTATTGATGGAAACTTACTTTTCCTTAAAATTTTCTATTACAAAGCTGACGGATATTCTTATAGGTAAACACATGATCACATCTCTGATTATTTCCTAAAGATGAATTTTCTGCATGTAGAAACCCTAGGTCAAAAGGCATGCTCATGCATATAGCTTTGCATCCGCATTGCCAACACCCTGCAGAAAGGTGGTAGCCGTCTACACTTACACATGAGAAGGTCCGTCCCCTGCATCACTGCCAGCCCTGGGTCTTATCTTTCTCCCCCTTAATTGCACAGGTGAGAATAATAACATTTTATTTTGCAGATGTGCAGTTACCAGTTATGTCTGACCACGTTCGTTTCCCAGCAACGCCTTTGCTTCTGCGGATGTTTATCGCTCCCAGGTCTGATCCCACTCACCCCCCTGTCATTATGAGTGCTTGTCTCTTGCTGCAACAGGTCCAGTTTAGAGGGCGAACTGCACAGAGCTAGATAGAATTTTTAAATAACAGTAATTTCAGGGTAAGAAATTAGATCTTGGGTGATCTTTCTATCTGAGAGACTGTGGGAGAGCTAAGGCTTTCAGAAAGCCAAGGGCAATGTAGGAAGGTGGCATAACAGGACCCTCTGTGTGACTCTATATGTAGCTACGGCCCGAGAGCACCTAGTTCCAAAGAATCCCCCAAAGGTTTGTAGAAGAGGAGGGAGATCTCTTTCTAAAATATACTTTGTGGGCCATAATTTCCAATTTTGCCACTTTTGGAGGGCGTTCCTGTTCTTCTTTCGCTTCTCAATCTAGCCCTGTCTGGGAGGACAACTGAAAAACTGGCCCTGGCAGTTGAAAGAAGTATAGATTGTTTTTTATATCGGTAATACATAGTTGTTCTTGAAAGATTAGGAAATAAAGACTGCAGAAAGAAAAATAATTAAACTAATAGAAATTCCTTCCATTTACTCTTAGGTAATTGTTATTTACATTTTGCTGATTTTGGTTTCCAGATCTTTTCATTAAAAATTTTAGGCCGGGCGCTGTGGCTCACGCCTGTAATCCTAGCTCTTGGGAGGCCGAGGCGGGCGGATTGCTCAAGGTCAGGAGTTCAAAACCAGCCTGAGCAAGAGCGAGACCCCGTCTCTACTAAAAATAGAAAGAAATTAATTGGCCAACTGATATATATATAAAAAAAATTAGCCGGGCATGGTGGCTCATGCCTGTAGTCCCAGCTACTCGGGAGGCTGAGGCAGAAGGATTGCTCGAGCCCAGGAGTTTGAGGTTGCTGTGAGCTAGGCTGACGCCACGGCACTCACTCTAGCCTGGGCAACAAAGTGAGACTCTGTCTCAAAAAAAAAAAAAAAAAAAAATTTTATGTAGACTGGGTGTGGTGGCTCACTCCTGTAACCCTAATCACTCTGGGAGGCTGAGGTGGGAGGATCACTTGAGCTCAAGACTTCTAAGACCAGCCTGGCAATAGCAACACCCCATCTCTACAAAAAAAAAAAAATTAGCAGAGCACTATGGCACATGCCTGTAGTCCCAGCTACTCAGGAGGCTGAGGCAGGAGGATCACTTGAACACAGGATCTCGAGGCTGCAGTGAGCTATGATTGCGCCACTGCACTTCAGCCTGAGTGGCAGAGTGAGACCCTGCCTCAAAAATAAACAAATAAATAAAAATTTTATAAAATAAGCCATCACAGTTATCAAGTCCAGTTTAGTTATAGAGGACTTTCCAGCTATTTTAGAATATTTTAGAATGAATAAATGACACAATCAGTTATTCATTTGTTCTATAAATATTTAGAATTGTCAACTATAAATTCACTGTTAAGGGTAATAATAAAAAAGTGGAAGACAAAACAATTTTTGTATAATGAAAATAATAAAATAAAATAAAAAATAATATTCTTTTCAATTAATAAATCTAGCTTCCCAGTTGTCAGGAAATGTTGATCTACATTGTCATTTTTAATAGAGTTTTATTAAATTCCCTTATATGGCTCATATTAAGTAATCTAGTTAATCCCTTATTTGTGGACTTTTAAGTTATTTCTTAGTTTTTTACTATAATAAGAGAGACAATATTGTACATACATATTTATGTGCTTTTCCACTATTTCTCTAGGATAAATTCTATGATGTAGGGTTATGAGGTCAAAAAACATTTTCAGGGTTTCTGAGATGAATTCCTAATTGTCCAAACATTTCCTGAACTACTTTATCTCCACAATAGAGTTCTAGTTCGTTGGTTTTTCACTCAACCAATAAACACTGGTATTTTTGCTCAATAACATTCATATTGAAATGAGTAAGAAGGACGTCACAAGTTCTCCTTGAGAAAATAATCAGTTCCCCAGCAAGGATATCACTTGAGAAAGACAAACTGAAAACAAGAGATGAATGGAGGGTGAGGCGCTTAACTTCTAGGAAGTGAAGAAGCAGGTCTGGATGCTAGGAGGACCTGAGCTCGCAGAAGTTTCCACCTGGCTTGGCCTTAGTTTAATGGCAGCAGCAGTCCTAGGGCTCTTGTCTACACACTGTCTGCATTTGCACCTCCTGTCTGTTGGAGGAAGAGCCAGTGTAGAGACGGATGTGTGACCCGCACAGACGAGCACGTGGTGTTCCCTTAAGAAGACCAAGCCCACACTGCAGACGAACCCTCTGTGGGAATGCAACAGCCACCTTCACTCCACGCCCTGGTCTCTTAAGCCAACAGACCCCAAACCACGCTCATTATTCTTTCCCAGGGGTCCTTGCTCTATAATCCCTATCTTCAATAAATGGCACCACTATTATTTTGTTTATTTTGTTTTTTGAGACAGCATCTCATTCTGTCACTTTGGTTAGGGTGCAGTGGTGTCATCATAGCTCACAGCAACCTCAAACTCTGGGCTCAAGCGATCCTCCTGCCTCAGCCTCCCAAGTAGCTGGGACTACAGGCATGTGCCACCACGGCCCGCTAATTTTTTCTGTATTTAGAAGAGACGGGGTCTCACTCTTGCTCAGGCTGGTCTCAAACTCATGACCTCAAGTGATCCTCTCGAAGCGCTAGGATTACAGGCGTGAGCCACCATGCCCCGCCACTATTCTCATTACTTAGCAGCCTACACAAGAAACCACATTTGTCACTTATGACTTCTCCTCCTTTACCTCCAACTTTGAAGCAGCCAATTATTTGCATCTATCCTGCCCTCTGCGTGTCTTTTCCATCCATCTCCTTATAGCCTTGGATGGAGCCTCCATCGTCTTTTGCCTGAGAGAAGGTGGCTGTCTCCTATGCGTCTCTCCAAGGAAGTTTGAAAGGCTCCCGAGGCTCCGTGTGCAGGGTAATGCTTCCACTCCTCAGTACCCCCTGCAGCCCTCCCAGAACCTGGCCTCGCCTTGCTCTTCAGCTGCATCCCTGCTCCTACCCTTCTTGTGCTCCAGACATTTGCGTGTCCCCAGCGACTGCCTCCCTATGCTTTGGATTCAGTGGCTTGTCCCCTACCATCCTCACTCTGTTTTTCCTCCCCTTCTCAGCCTGCTGAACTCCTTCTTATCCTTAAAGGCCACTGCAAATATTGCTTCCCTGTGGCTTTCTCCAGGCAGAAACAATCATCTGTGGTATTGGGTGCCTCCTGGTAGGCTGGAGCTCACCGAGGTCCTGGAGAGCGTCGCAGTCACCTTCAGATGCCGAGGGTCTGCCTAGCCAAGTGCCGGGCATACACTGGTTAAATTGGATTAAGTCAGAAATAGATTCAGGCCACCTGACTCTTACCCACTGTCTC